ATTTTCTTTTTATTAAAAATAGAAAGTTTATTGTTCAATAGTGCATATATGTATATTGCATATTCTCCCTGTGGGTTTGATATTCAGGTCTTAATCAAAAAGTCCTATATTACTTGATAACGATACGTATACTTGCGTACTATCCCAAAATTTATAAATTAGAAGTTAAATTCTTATTTTTCTTCAAGATTAATTTTTTGGTTTTGTTGCAAAGTACGTAATTATAAGTGAAATATAATCTGAACTATTGTTGTACTATGCATATTAGCAGTATCTAGGGATCAGTTGTCACGGGTCTTTCAAAAGTGAAATGTGACACTCACTAGTTACAGAAATCTTAGCCCTCCGAGTCTATAAGTTTCTCAACAAATTTTACAATACAAGTGGCCAATTTGTAAAGTAAATGAAAGACGAGTGAAAATATCATCATAAATTTTTAAAATAATAGAAATTCTAAACAAATCAAAACTACTACTTGATTACTTCATATTGGCAAGATAAAGAGAGAAAACTATTCAGAACACGTGAGGATAACAAAAAAAAAACATATTTATAAAACTCAAATCAAAAGTACAATACTCACAGATAAAGATACAACTACTTCTATGAAATGGTTCCCTAAGCACACCTTTGAAGTTCTCTGACTCCTGTGACTCCAATGGGGTTTTAAAGAACTCACCAAACTGTAGAAATCACAAAGACTCTATATGTGACTTTAGAACTCTCTAACATTTTCTAACACACACTAGCCCTCTCCCTATATGTTTAGAATTAATTTCTATTTATAGAGCTTCAAAAATGACCAAGGGGTGCTTCAAACATCTCTTTAAAATTTGGCCTCATTCAATAGATCTTCTATAAAACAACTATGGCGCCTAGGTGCCAAAACTGTCGCTCCTAGGCACCATCCATGATCTTCATCTGGTGCCTAGGTGCCAAATTCTGGCTCCTGGGTGCCAATTTGACTGGTTTTGTCAATTTTATTTGTTATGATCCATTTTGCTTCTTTTTGATGTTTTTATGCTTCATTTTGCTCTTAAAGTCTTTTTCTTACGCCTACAACCAGAATACAAAAAATATCTTTCATTATGCCATAATATCCTAAAAAATGGGTATAAAATGTGCATAAAAAATAGGTACTTTTAAGTTGGATCATGAAATCGTCAATCCAACTACTACAAGAGAACATATACAAGTCTAGCCAGAATAAGAAGTTAAGTATTCACCTCCCTCATGACACACATAAAGATCAAATCAATTCATAAACAATCCAAACATCCACCAACATCAATCAAATTGATCAATCCACTCTAAAACAAACACAATACAACACAAATAATCACAACTCACAAACATACTAAATCAAACCACAGTGATAACCATGGGTTGCCTCCCATGAAGCATTTAGTTTAATGTCTCTAGCCTGCAAAGGATTTCCTCCCGAAACAAATTTCCATTTAAGTAAACATCGATCAATCACCAAATCTTTTTCAGATCTTAGAATTCCTACTAAATCCTCAAATTTTAGTTTTTCTTTCAATTTTTTTTCAACTTCTCAAATTGTTTTCAATTATTGTTCCTCAAGCTTCTTTCAAGTTCTAATATTCTTTTATTGGTATTTTCAATTTGCATATTAATATCATACTTAAAATTTATAAGAAATTTATCTTTATATGATAATTCTCGGTCACTTAAATTTTTAGTTAAATTCTCTCTAGAAGATTCATATTTTAGATCAAATTCCTTTATGATATTCTACTGTTCAAGTTATCTTCTAATTCTTCCCATTGGTACAAAGTAAATGGTAGAGGTGGTCTTTCTATATTTATCTTAATTGAGAAGATAGGTTTTTTTAATTTCATAGGAATTTCTTCCATTGGTCTTTCAATCTCTTTATCCTCATTTCTCAACTCAAAGTTCATTTTAAATCATTTTTTAGGTTGTTATATTGATTAGTAAACATAAAAGTACATAATTTCAAATTATTTTTTATCATTTATGAAAAATTAATTAGTTGGAATTGCTTTTCAATGCTAAAGAATTACATGTGTCGAAATTACATTTGCAAAATCTTATTGAATATGTTGTCATGGTAAGTATATTGATTGTGGAATATTAGTTTACATAAAATTTAGCTATATATTATCATTTATAATAAATTAATTTTCTAGAATAATTTTTAAAAAACCAAAATGTATTTTTATTAAAAATATTGTTGTTAAAATAAATCACATTTACTATCTTGATTAATGTATTTATAATCGAATATCATATATCATAAAAAATTAAATCATAGTTTACAATTCATAAAAGATAGTTTTATGAATTATATTTTTATAATCAGTGGTATTTCATTTCATATAAATAAATAATAGTAGTTAACTTATCAAATTTGTAAATTGTTTACATGTTTGTGAAAGTGATTAATGTGATATCTGTAAATTAGATTGTATTAGAAGTTTGTGTTATAAGAAAAAATATTAAAAAAATGCAATTCTCTAGATTTGTATTTTTTTATTTTTTTTAAATTATTGTATTAGTTTATTTTGCTGCATTACAGCTTTGTTTATTTTAGCACTAAGCCTGTGTAGGAGTGTACAATGTTCTATTATAATTTGGGATAATATTTGTCTTGTGTAGGAGAGTATAATATAACAATATGAATTGGGGTTATAATCGTATGGTGTAGGAGATCACTGTATTGCACTATTAGAATATTTTAAGAAATTGATTTCATAGACCAAGCATCAGATATTGTGGACTTGGGGCCCAGAGCTATTTAAAGCTGCATCAATGAAAAATTTATTGTTTTCTTATTTGTTTACTTTTTGCACTTTTAGTTGTGACTATGGTACATTGATAAAAATATCAAAATTAGTTTATATTGGGAAAATTTGTAAATTGTTTTAAAGATTGAGATTTAGGTAGGGTAAACAATTAAAATGCTTGTAGATAATTATCTTGGGACATGTACATATCATCCAAAGAAGATGATTATGTTTTTTGGAGTTTACGTATGTGTTGAGAAGTATGTAAGAAAATTATATCCTAATTTTTCTTAGGTTATTCAAAAGCTATCAGTAAGATTTTGGAGTTGATGTGAGTTCAGGTTGAGTGGTGGCTAATCATGGATGAGGCTAAGGAAGTGGATGGAGGTGTGAAGAAAAATCAGAGTAGAAGACTTAGAAAATAACAAGTCAATATAAGAGAACTAAGAATAATAATTTTATTTTAACAAAGAAAAGCCAAAACATGATATACGAAGCACCAATATAAAAATAAGATGAATTCTTCACTCAAATTATTTCATTAAATATTTGAAGTTATAAGAAAATTAGCTCATATTTACAAGCATCACAAGACTCTTAAGCTAAAAATTTTGGAGAGAAGAAATGACAAGTGTAAAATGGGAAAAAAGAAATGTTAAAGGCCATTAATGAAAAAGTTTTTACTATTTTTTTCTTATGTCAACTTTGGCCATACATATTCTTTGGTAATAAATAAAAATATTAAAAATACATATTTACAAAAATTTTCAATTATGAGCTCTTATTGTTATGCTTATTCATTAATCTCATTCTCAGACTTTAGCCTAAACTTTTGTAGTTGATTTGATATTCTTGATCATTATGAATGCTATATCATGAGTAAGTTCATATATTTTAAAATAAAATCTATGCTTAGCAGGCGAGAATTTGCTAAGGTAAGAGAGAAAACTGGACTGGTTGGGTGGAATGAAGAAAGAAACTTATAATATGAGGTGAGATGCATGTCTAACCATTCATTATTAAATGGCCTCGATCTTTCCCTATTTCAATAGGTTCTAAAGTTTGGAAGTTGAATTGAAAAAAAATATATCATAAAACTATGCCAATTTCTATGTTCTATAAAAAAGACGCAATCATTAAAGTATTTTAAATTAGAAGTGAAGGCTTTCCATAACTTTATCATAATATTATTGGGTACAATTAAAATCCTCATCTCCAACCAACCTTTGTTGACAAAGATTAATAATTAAATCGAAGAATCTTATAAGAATTTTGTTTGCATAGCATTATTATCATATTATATCAAAATGATTAGAAAATTAATATATATTGAGAATACTTTCTTCCCATGAACCAGATAAGGAGAGATAATGGAATAAAATTGATTCTTGAAAGGTTCTTTTTTAATCCAAAATTGCCACGAAGAGCATTGTGGAGATTTTGAAAACTAGTTTCATAATTAAATAATATCATTTTCCTTTATTTAATTCAATCAGTAGTGATTCATTGACCTGTTTAGTTCTCAAAGAATATAAGATTCATATAAAAATCTCTAACTACATTTTTACATCTATAATGACTTTAAGGTGAGCAAGAAATGTTTTTTTTTTTTTTTACATTTTCATTTTATTTTGAGGGAGAGGACACATCTGCAGATGATATTAGTTGCCTCTCCATATTAAGGATTTGTTTAGCATAGTCTTCTGTTAGTTTTTTATTTGAGATCACCACCACAATTATGTTTTAGAAATTGTTTTATTAATTTTTTAGAAATTTTTGCAGTGAAAAGATATTTTTTGCAGCTATACTATAAGAAACCTTTCTCTGACATTTTGAAAAAAATAAATACTTATAATTAACACCTTAACTTTTTAAAAAGTTACTTCTTCCCATAGCTTTATAATAACTTTTATGAAAAAACACCTATCCTAAACAGATCTTAAGCGTCAGTACGGGAGTAACTACAACTTTTTAAAAAGTTGATTGTAAAGCTCAAATAGAGAAAGTAGATAGGTTTTTAATGCTCGGTTTTAAAGTGCATTACAAAGAAAAATAAAAAAAAATGATTATTTTTAATTCACTCCATTACATAAAACACATGCGCTAGCCACACTTTCAAAGTTGACCCTTTAGCAGCACATTAAAAGATAGGAACCTAGCATCAAATATAAGGGCATTTGTGGTACTTCATGATGCGCTATCCTCAGTATATATTCATAACGCAAACCCTAGCAATTCATTATATGTTGCTGGTTGCCGCCAAGATATTCAGTTAAGTTCCCGTAATCGCAGGCTTCGCCGCCCTCAACCTCCGTCACCAGTGCAGCCATGGGTCGTATGCATAGCCGCGGGTATCCTTGATTCACCTTTTCCTTTTTCTTTTATCGTTCTTTTTAGCATTCCTCTACCTGCTACCGATCTTTATATATATTTTCTCATTCCTCTCGACGAACAGCAAGGGTATTTCCTCTTCGGCTTTGCCTTATAAGAGAACTCCTCCGAGTTGGCTTAAAACCTCCTCCCAGGATGTAAGGTTCCTGCTCCATACAAATTTCGCTTATTTATTGAATCGCATGTGTTTATGAGTTTCGTGATGTGTAGGTAGATGACAACATTTGCAAGTTTGCGAAAAAGGGACTGACGCCATCACAGATCGGTGTAATTCTTCGCGACTCTCACGGTATTGCTCAGGTAAAGAGTGTGACTGGAAGCAAGATTCTCAGGATTCTCAAAGCGCACGGTATAGTCTCATATTCTTAATCACTTTTTTTTTCTATTAATTTTATACATATGAATGAAGGGTTACTTATGTAAGCTCCTCTTCTATTTATTTATTTTTTGTTTTATGATGGTGTTCATTAGGGCTTGCACCGGAGATTCCCGAAGATCTGTATCATCTGATTAAGAAGGCCGTTGCCATAAGGAAGCACTTGGAAAGAAACCGGAAGGATAAAGACTCAAAGTTCCGGCTTATTCTTGTGGAGAGCAGGATCCATCGGCTGGCTCGTTACTATAAGAGGACGAAAAAACTTCCACCCGTGTGGAAATAGTTAGTATCTGTTCCTTGATGATTTTCATTATCTTAACTTTTAGATTTATAAGGCTTGCTTTTACCTCTGATTAATTCCAGTGTTTTTAAACACAGCATAGTATTTATTGTGCAATTTGATTTGCTTGCTGCCCTGCTTATTATTCTATTTTTTTAATTTATTAGTGAATTGATTTTAAAAGTTTTGAAGCTAAGATTGTAATCCATCTTTGTAGAAAGTCTGTCTTTATGTAAGCATTGAATCGTTTCTATTATTACATGAAATTATTGTTATATATTGAACTATGTTGCTGCTGTTCCCTTAATTACTATGGGGCCTTTTGGAATCTCTTTTTTTCTTTGTTTTTATTTCATTTAGATTTATTTTATTTTTATTTTGGTCTTTTGTATAGAATAAAATATGTTTGATGTCTTATTGCCATTTTAAAAATAAAAAAAGGAAAAAGTCTCGATTGTTTTTCTTGTAAGTGTTATCCTCTCTTGAATTGTTGTTGTTAGAAGGGCGAGCAATAGTGGAAACTTCATTCAAAATTTTATTTTGTTAAGGGAATTGATAAGGTTGGCGTGGCTGCAATAGAGAGATGCTGGATTTTGCATGGTGCTGCCGTGATTTTACTCCTTGAAAAGGTCGTTTACCAAGCTCTTGTTGTTCGTGAGCTTTAGCTGGAGGATTTTGTTTCTGTAAGCGACACTGAGACAGTTAGAGAAGGTGGTTTCTCCCTTTTTGATGTGAACGAGGATGCAAATGTTGTGAATCTTTTGGGTGTTGGAATTAATCACTGTAGTGATCGGTCAAAGGCTAAAATGTCAAAAAAGATGTGGATAAGTGGAGTATGAATTGAAACCCAAACTTCTAATTTTGATGGGAGGAAGATTATGGAACTTATGGCCGTCAATGTTAAAAGTTAGCATATTGGCAACATCGTGAGGTTTCTACATAATTATTGCATTGTTGAGGTTTATCAACATGCAAAATTACTTCAATTGCTTAGGGCGTGATCAAAATATGATCCATACAATCATGATTTTTGAACATGATTCAAATTATTGAGAGATGTGACAACAGTGAGGCTGAAGCATTTGCTCAAGTAGAGCGAACGAGAGGATATGGGCAGATTTTTTAGCGAAGATGTCGGGATGGGGGTTAAAGGGAACACACAAGATTTTATGTTCTGTTTTTAACTCAAAATAAGGGTGTAAACAAGCCGAGTTTTAGTGAGGCTGGTCTCGAATCTTGTTTGGCTTGTTAAAAAATACCATTATTCGTGTTCAACTCGTTTGCTTAGCGAGTCGAACACTAGCTGTTCGCGATTTAGCCATTTTGACAGCCCTTGTCACACAACCATACAAATGTTAAGGGTAGGCGTGAGATTTAAATATTATTATTTATATTAAAATATTCATTTAGTTAAAATTTAAATTTTTATTTAATCTTTTAATGAATAATTTTAATTGATTATAAATCTTTGTAGCCTTGTGAACAAATAAATCTTTGTTCATTTCAACTCATTTATAAATTGAGCACAAAAATTTTGTTTGTGTTCGGCTTGTTTTCTCACTGAATGAATCAAATTTGAGCTACTTAACGAGCCGAACCTGCTGTTCTCAAACAACTGACTTTTTTGACAGCCCTATTTCAAAACATTTTGCTTTTAGTAATAAATGATAAAAGTAAGCAAACAAAATTGTTTTGTCATTTTAGATACTTTTTAGAAAGAAAAAAAATGTAATCGAACATGATGTAAAACTTCATTAAATTAACCTTTTTGGTGCAACTATTACTCTTTGTTGTGGATGACTAAATAATTTAAAATACTCTATATTCAGCAAGTGTATTCTATAGATATTGATTTTATCTTTATTGATTGATTATTGTCATAGCTCTCTTAAACTCATTTTTATAATTGCATAATTTATATACTTTGCCAGGATGTAAGGTTCCTG